CTTCCAACGAAATAAATGTGATTCATTTCAAAGGAATGATGAGTCTCAAATCATCGAAATGGTTAACTTTGAGTAATGACACTATAGCATGAACTGGAATCATGTGAGAATAAAAATTTAAGTTTAACCGTCACTTAAATCTTGATCTCACACTCATGCATTTGCTTATAGTAGAATCGAAATCCTAATGGATAGTGAACTCGTGTTTAATCTCTATATAATTTTTTATTTACCATGAGCATGATCATCATAAAGCGTTGATCTAGTCTCCATATTTTGAGATTATAATCGAAATAAACATCTAGAAACATATATCCAAATAATGGAGTTCATAGCATTAACATCAATTCTAGTGATTTTAAGAAGATTGGTGATTAATCTAAATTCAGTGGATTGATGAATTAGTTGCTCATCACATCTAGATACTCAAAAGATTAGATCTAAAGTATTGAATTACTAATTTAATGAAATTCGATATTTTGGGGTAAAATTGACATAAAAGGTAAATCGGTAATTTTACCTTTTGTCATTGGATGGTTATGAGGGTTTACAATATAAGGTTTGTAATTGGACAACTAATAATTAATATCAAGTATTGAATTATTTCTTGTAATTATAGTTAATCCAAAAGTGCAACCATGAATCTATGGTGGAGTGATTTTGTGGTTAATAAGCTTGAATTATTTTTTTAATGAGATTAAGAATAACTCTAAGTTTATTGAAGCTTGAAATATGTATGTCCACATAAATTCTCCACTTAGGTTTATAGAATGCAACTTGTTAAAGTTGGAATGCATGTTTTATTTAATTAATTAAATTGTGTACAAAAATGGAAGCTTTAACATATTTGTTTTAATTTAGATAAGAAAACATTTTTTGTCTTAATTTAGACAAGAAAATATGTGTTTCTTAATTTAAGACAAAAAAAATATTTTGTCTTAATCTAGACAAGAAAACATATTTGCTTCAATTTAGATAAGATAAAATATTTTTGTCTTAATTAAAGACAAGAATTATCTTAAATTAAGATAATGTTGGAAGGATTCTTACAAAATGAATCTAACATCCATGTTCATAAAAGGAAACTCCATATTTGACTATCACTCTTTTATTTATTATTAATTCTTTTTAAATAAAGATGGATAATAATAAAATAAAAATTATTATTCAATAAAGAGTTTTATTTTATCAAGAACTCTAAATGATAATTAAAAAATTAAATTATTTATTTTTTAATTTTAATTTTGATAATTATAAAGTATGTTTGATGCTCCATAACTCTAAATGAATGGTCAAGATCAATTCAAAGGTATTTGATTTTGATTAAACTTTTGAAGTAAAAGTTTTAATAAAAAGAGAAGAGATTGGAAAAAAAATGAATGTACTTTTTCTTGAAAAAATTTTAACCATCACTTCTCTCCTCCTTCTCTAAAACTTTGTTGTATCTTTCTTCCTTTCTCTCGTTCTTGGCTAAATTTTATAAAAGAAAATAGCTATTAATTTTAAAGAAGAAAAGAAAGACAAAATCAATTTCTATCTTATAGTCTATCATTTCACACCTTGTGAAGCGTTCTTGACGAATAAGTGGTAAACTTGTTTAGTCGAGAGATCATTCACTGGTATGGTAGTGTCGAAAAATGAAAATCTCAAAATAAAAAATATGTTTTTTTAACAGATTCTTATTTTTTAGGATGTGATTACGTTAATTGCAATAAGAATAATACATGTTTTCTCTTGTGTAATTGGATTGTTTGCTTCCTTTAGAAAATTTTTTTTTTGAAATTTATGTTTTATACAATCACATCAATCTACTAAAATCATACTCCAACAGCTTTCACATACCATTATCTTAGTGAATATGGAGTCTAATACAATAGTGTGAATACAAGAGAGAGCCTTAAATCTCTTTACTACCTTTTCACTATGTTGCTTAAATTGAGCTAATGTAAGGCTAACATGCCTCATCACAGGTGCATCTCCACCCACTTCCATGACTTCTCAAAAATCAAATGCTCGAAGATAGGTTTTCATTTTCACTGCCCATATTTGGTAGTTTTTTGCATTAAACACTAATATAGCCATAACATTGTAACTACCATATGCTATGGCTTTTTTCTTTGTATAGAGGTTTTCACAAACAAAGGTTAAAAAGAATGAGACAGAATAAAGCAAAAGCTAAAAATACTTTAAGAACAAACTTCACAAATCCCTTAAGACTATATAAAGCTCTGATACCATGTTAAACTTTTAAAAAAAAGTTTAGAGACATTCTCAACGAAAAAAATGAATAGGAAAAATAAAAGCTTGGCTTTTCATTTCACGATTTTGGTACTTAACAGTATTCATCTACATGAGAGAGAAAATGAAATATGCTAGCATTACAAAAGAACAAAACAACCAACAACAAATCAATAAAAGCAAATTCAATAATGGTCAGCATCTTGATACACAAGAGCAAATAAAATAAAAACACATGGACAAGTTTATTCACATTGCAAAAAAGATAAGAATATAAAAAGATATTTTGATAGAATTACATGGTACCCCATGTGACTTCATCTTCTTCCTATTTAAAAGATCATTTCACACCAATCTCCATTATTGCAAAGGTACATTATAATTTCAACATTTAGTTCTTCCCTAACTTCTTTTCTTGCCCTAAACAAAATCCTAAAGGAATAACATCCTTAATTTTTCTCGTCATACGTGGTGGTTGCCAATGTTTGCAGACTTGGTGTGGTTACTAGATTTTGACCTCTTTGGTGCATTTAGATTGGTTTTCTTTAAGCTTTCCAACCATGGGATATTATTTAAATGTTAGGAACATCCACTAGTTTAATTTCATAGCCATTGGAGTCCTCTAACATGTAACAATTACATAAAGAAGTTGCTATTTAGAATGCTGAAATAAATTTTCTAAATTTTTATCTGAACTTTGCACCAAGATTAAACAACTAAGACCAATTCCAATTGCTCTCCAAAAATTAAGAACATTCACTAGTTTTATTTCATAGCCATTGGAGTCCTCTAACATGTACCAATTACATGAAGAAGCTGCTATCTAGAATGCTGAAATAAGTTTTCTAAATTTTTATATGAACTTTGCACCAAGATTAAACAACCAAAACCAACTCCAGTTGCTCCCAAATTTTTACCTTGTCTAGCCAACATGTTCATACATCATATGTAAAAAGATGAAAGACAAACAAGCAAAAAAAGTTTTAAATTGACTTAAGACAAAAGTTGTCCAAAATGTTGAAACCAATCTCAATTTTTGACCTCTTCAATTTCAACTTTTTAGTTACCCAATCAAAACAACTCCAATTAATCTCAAAATTTTTCAAGTATATTTAAAATAGTGATATATCATGTGTAACAATTTGAGGTTTAAATGAGCAAGTTAGTTTATTGAATTAAAACAAAATAGATGCTATCCATAACCCAGACATTTTTTCTAAACTCTTCTTTGAAAACTTTGTGTGATTTAATCTTGCACCAAATCAACATATAGTAAATTCTAAATTGAAATCAATATCAATTGAACAATTTATGTTAAACAAAGGCAAAGGACACTTTGATACTACTATTAGGAAAAGCCATGCAAACAATTTACAAAACTCAACAGAATTTTTAAACTTTTCCGTGAAGCAAGATCATCTTGGTTATTTAATATAGATTTAATCCTAACTATTTGGTAGAAGTTTGTTTTACCTTTATGGCTTTGATGTCTATATCAAGAGCCTCACAACCATTTGGGTTGCAATGAACTTCTCACCAAGCTTGGGTTGTTGTAAACCTTAAGTTGCTTAATTGTGTAGCCTTCAATAGTGATCAACACCAGATGAAATCTAAAAAAACACTAAACGTGATTGTGGGGTTTGCTTGATGCTAAGGCTAGTGCTATCTAAGTATAAAAGGTGCTGGTTTCTCACTCTTCACTCAAGGGAAGACCAAAGAAGGGAAGATTAGTCGACAACACAAGGAGGGAGGTGAAATGATTTCAAGGTTTCTTTCTCTTTAAAAATTAGTGAGTCAAGCTTAGTTGATGTCTTTAAAAGTTAGATCAAGGTTCAAACCCTTCACTCTTGCTCATATATTTAAATAAATCTATTATTTTTTTTTATAATTTTAATTATATTTTAAAGTTACATCCGAATATTTGACTCCTTAATTGGTATATAATTTTTCTCTTAAAAAGAATAAGATTCGAATCTCTCTTTTTTCTAAATATATATATGTATATTAGAGTTAATATTAAATAAAAATTAATCTTTATTAATGCTATAATTATTTGACTCCTAAAATATATTGCTTTGTTAGCTATATTGGAATACAATACTAAGAAATGTGTTATAGGTGGAGAGTAAAAGAAAATAAATTTCAGTTACTATGTTAAACTCGATAGACTGTTCAATAATGTGCATGAATATAATGGACACTCCCTTTGTCTCATATTTAATGTCGTGCTTTGATTCTTTTTTTGGTAAAATTTTTTCAATTTCGACTCCAATTTATTCTCACATGATCATTTATCAAAATTTTAAAAATAAATATACAAAAAAAAACCTTTAGATATAGTAATTGTTAAATGCATATCATCTAATAGAATATTTAAAATAATTTCGATCAAAATTAAAAAATTATTATAAAAATAAAATAAAAAATTGTAAATGAGATTGAGGAATACGTTGTGCGAAAACCGGCGGATAGTTTGGATTTTGGGAAAAGTCAAGGGCGTCCTAGGCCCCCGCACCGTGGCGTTTTGGGAGGTCCAAGTTCATCAGATAAAACAAAGAAAGAATAAAATAAAGCACTCGAAGCGTGAGTTACACTGAAGAATGAAGAGGCGGTGATTGGATTCGAGCTGGTCTCATGGGCGCCCATTACAGTGTCTTAAAAGTCTTTCCTTTTACTTTTGGTCAATGAAAGTGTTTCCAGTTCAACTGTAGTTAGCAGCAAGTGAATCACACCGCCCATACCATATGGCCTCATTGCCAATTATTATAATATATTCTTAAACGCTCTCGCTTTCACTTCCCTGACTACCCTCTTCAAAGTGTCGGTATATATATGTATGAATGGATCTAAATCTTTCTACAGATACGGAAGCTCTTCAGTCCCACTCCTCGTCTCTACTGTGATCCATCTGCCATTACTGATTACCCAATGATGATGTTCTTATGATGATATGATATACTAGTAGAAAAAAGAGTTGCATTCTATCAAATTACCATATATTCTGTGATTTATATTTGTGGGAGTTGAGATGGAGAAATATGAGGTGGTCAAAGATTTGGGAGCCGGGAATTTTGGGGTGGCCAGACTCTTGAGACACAAGGAGACCAAGGAGCTTGTTGCTATGAAATATATTGAGAGAGGCCACAAGGTTTGTTTTTTCTTCTCTCTGTCGTTTGTTATTACTACTTAGTATCTTAGTTATGTTTTTGTTCGCGGCATACTTTCTGGATCTTAATATATGACTTAGATCTTTCTTTAATTTGGTGATCCCTCTCCGTTGAGACAGCCTGAGCCTGAGCTTGAATATTTTTTCTTTTTTGGGTTCCGATACCCATGATTTTAGTATTGTTCTGGTTTCACAATTCATTCGCTGAGAATCGGAGTGATAAAACCTTGTTCGCTTCAATTATGTTAAATTTGGGTTGTGGAGTTTCTTCAAGTTTTTCCTTTACTTTTTGAGTTTGCTTCGTTTTTTCCTCTCTTCTTTTGAGACACCCGATCAATTGATTGAAAGCTTAGTTGTATTTGTTTGCAGATAGATGAGAATGTGGCAAGAGAGATTATCAATCACAGATCTCTGAGACACCCCAATATTATCCGGTTCAAGGAGGCAAGTATCATCAGTGTGATTGATTTGTATTACTTCCTTGAAGCATTGAGATTATAATATTGTAATTACTCTCTTTTTAATCTGCAATTCTTCTGGTTTGATGGGATATGAATACTGTAGGTGGTTCTGACTCCTACGCATTTAGCAATTGTCATGGAGTACGCTGCCGGTGGTGAGCTCTTTGAACGGATTTGCAGTGCCGGTAGATTCAGTGAAGATGAGGTCTTTTTCTCTTTCTATTTTTGTTCCTTTCATTGACATTTTTTCTATTTACTGGTCACAAACAATTAATCTCTAGTACTTAAATGTTGTGTTTGTTCTCTATTTGTTCAGGCTAGATATTTTTTTCAGCAGTTGATCTCAGGTGTCAATTACTGTCATTCCATGGTAATTAACACTCAGAACCATAACGTTTCTCTATGTATGCCAGATGCAAGAACTAAATGCACTTTTGTTCTTTGTTTCTATTCTTGTTTGCAGCAAATATGCCATAGAGATCTGAAATTAGAAAATACGCTTTTAGACGGAAGTCCTGCACCACGCTTGAAAATTTGCGATTTTGGTTACTCTAAGGTTTGGTCCATTCAACTTGTAAGTGGCTTTATGGTTTTCCAATCATTAATTTGTTTTCCTAACAATTGGTGTAGTCATCTCTGTTGCATTCAAGACCCAAATCAACAGTTGGAACTCCAGCATATATAGCACCAGAAGTTCTATCTCGACGAGAATATGACGGAAAGGTAATTATTTTAACCCTTTAAAAAAAAAGAAGAAAAACGTACAAGAAATAAAATCTAGATATCGAGCTTAGAGTACCATTGAACAAAGTCTATTGCATGATTTGGATCTGGCATTCCACTTTTGATTTTGATGCTTAGCATGGAACCAGAAACTAATTGGAAGATGGTCAAATACATCAGTTACTGAATGCATGATAGTCTCTCTTCTGCCACTCCTTCACTTTTTTCATTTCTTAACTTATGCATTATTTATTTCAAAGAATAGGAGATGTGATGCATTGCATTTTGTAACTGTCCTTGTGGATGAAAGTTTGTAATACTCTATACATGTTGGAAAGAATTACCTTAAATTCCACATGCTTGTTATATTTAAGTACTATTCTGATATTGTCTTCTTCATTTGAGATCCCTTTTTTAAAACATTAATAGGGAGATATTTTGAGCATTAATCCAATCCATTTGCCATGCTTTTAGGTGATCTTGAAGGTTTTCTTAGTGGCTGCGTCTTGTTATGTGATGATATATAGTTCATTTGTTACTGCCAAAAGTATTTGACATTTGCTTGTCAAACACCTTTGTCTTTTGGGATCTGCTTCCGCTTTTATGGTGAAGTCATCTTGTTTCTGACCATTAATATCATTCCATCAAATGTTTTTTACTTAAATTATACAATAAATTGTCAACCCCCCCTCCCCTCGGCCACTTTAACTTCTAATTTGATGTATATATTCGAAAATTAATTAGATCTAATTTGTAACATGTAAAAGTTTGTTGACCTCAAGTTATGTCTTTTCTTTTACGGTTGGGAGATTTATGGTCCTGTGGAGTTACCCTCTATGTTATGTGATGATATATGGTTCATTTTGTTATGTGATGATACATAGTTCATTTGTTACTGCCAAAAGTATTTGACATTTGCTTGTCAAACACCTTTGTCTTTTGGGATCTGCTTCCACTTTTATGGTGAAGTCACCTTCTTTCTGACCATGAATATCATTCCATCAAATGTTTTTTACTTAAATTATACAATAAATTGTCAACCCTAAACCCTCCCCGCCCTAACCACTTTTCCTTCTAATTTGATGTATAAATTCCAAAATTAATTAGATCTAATTTGTAACATATAAAAGTTTGTTGACCTCAAGTGATGTCTTTTCTTTTACAGTTGGCAGATGTATGGTCCTGTGGAGTTACCCTCTATGTTATGTTGGTGGGAGCATATCCTTTTGAAGACCAAGAAGACCCAAGGAATTTTCGGAAAACAATTCAGGTTAATGCCAGCCTGCTATCTTCTTCATTTTCATTTATTAGAAAAAAAAAATATCATTCCTTATACCATAATCTTTTTTTCCTTGTTAATTTTTCTTTGGCAGCGAATAATGGCTGTTCAGTACAAAATTCCGGATTATGTTCACGTATCTCAAGATTGCAGGAACCTACTCTCTCGCATATTTGTTGCAAATCCATCCAGGGTATGTATAATTTTTAAGTTAATTGATCAAGCATTGCAATTGTACCACATCAGTGTTTTGCTGTATGCAATTAGCTTTGCAAAACCTGACAAGCATCTAGAAGACAACATAGGTAAGTTAGTAGCACTTCTTTTATAAACCTTGATTAATGAAAATTTGTATCTCCAATGGGAGAAGAAAGATGAAAAAAGGGGATAAAAAGGAAAAGAAAATGAAACCTACAAGACAGAACCTCTACTTCAACTAGTAGTACTGGAGAAGTAAGCTCTAAACAAAATACTGAATCAATAGAGGACAGCAAAGTTATATGTGTGAATTATCATCTGACTGCCACACTTCATAGCTTTTTTCCTATCAGCATCTTTTAATCTGTTCAGTCCAATTAACTTTGCTCCACTGCCTGCCATGTTAAAGATAGGGATGCATTCTGCAATTTCTTCCTTGCTGGATATGATAATTATTAGCACAGTAACCCAGCTTCAAAATGGTCGCAGCAGAAAACCTCTCTCTTACAAGACAGTTTCCATTTGTATTCACTAGTCCTGTCATGAATATCTCTGATGATGTAAGAGAGTAGCAGAAAGTGGCTCTAGATTCTCTTGGTTAAAGTGCTGGTGAAAGATGCATCTTCTTTGAGATTCAAGATATTGTCCACAAAGAATACAGTGGGGCATCATTGTACAATCCCCTAAACAATACGGTTTATTTTTTCATGGGACACCTATTAAATCAGAAAACTAGACAAATACCTTTTTTCCTTTCTTTGGTACAGCTAGACAAATTACCTTTTAACTATCTCATCCAAAATTGTTGTTCATTTCAACTAAATTAGTTTAATTTTGGTCAGTCATTATGTAGAGAACTCAAGAAGAAAAGTCATTCTTGAATGGCATCCAATCTTCCTTTACCTACATCAGTCTGTCATCATCATTAGAATTACATAAATTTAACAACCAGATTTCTATGGATCTTCGTCGCAATATATCTCTCTGGATTTAGACCTCTACTATATATGTGGTCTTTAATTCTTCTTTCCATAGATATCTAGTCACTATTAGAAAACTTAAAACTTTGAAATGTAGATGGAACAAAGTCAATGAGGTTTAGAAGGTAGAAATGCTAATTGGTATGCAGCTAATCTTCTGGTTGCATAAGAATGATTTTCGCTTAATCTGTGTTATGATCTGTTCTTTTTTTAACCTAAGTTTTCTTTCTCAATATTCAAGGCATGAGAAGGCACTAAAAGACTTCTGATTTCCTCTCTCTCTCTCTCTCTTTTCACCCTGTACTCTTATTTCTTTTCTTCTGTTGTAATATCACCCTGTAGCTGATGATTGTTGGACAAGTTTTTCTCTCCTGATCTTTATGAATTTTAGAGGAAATATTTGTGTTCTACCTGCCTGCATCCTTGGTTTTCTGAATTTAACATTCTCTAAATAATTTAGGTCATAGTGTCACCCATTTTGTTACTTCAAATTTCTTTTTCTTTTATTCCTGGTGGGGTGGGATATGTTAATCATAAAAAGCAGATATTATAGATCTATATGGTCAGAATTATGAGAAAGTGATATACGAAACCCAGGTGCTTCTGTTGTATCTGGTATGGGATATGTTTTCTGGCTCTAGATAAATTAAGGAATAATATGATGAAGTTCAATGGATTGATTCTTCCATAAAGAACTTTCAAAGAAAAATTTGATTTGTTGTATAAATGGAGACTGAGTCTATTGTTTATCGGGCATTGCTAAGAACTGGTTTGATTATTTTAGTGGATTGATGCTTTGAAGCTGGGGCGATTATTTCTATTATCCATAGCAGCCTGGTTGGTGATGTTGACCACGCATTTAATGAACCTTGTTTTTTGAGGTTCATTCATTGAATTTCAAATGCATTAATCTTTACCATTTCCTGTTTTTCTTTTTCCAGAGAATCACACTTAAGGAAATAAAAAATCATCCTTGGTTTTTGAAGAACTTGCCAAGAGAACTAACTGACACAGCTCAAGCTTCTTATTATCGGAGAGATAACCCGGCATTTTCCCTTCAAAGTGTGGAGGAGATAATGAAAATAGTTGAAGAGGCAAGAAGTCCACCTCCATCATCTGTGCCAGTCAAGGGCTTTGGCTGGGGGCAAGATGATGATGAAGAGGCAGATGTCTATGCAGAAGTGGAAGAAGATGATGAAGATGAATATGATAAGCGGGTCAAGGAAGTCCATGCAAGTGGAGAATATCAAATCCATTAAGCAATGAAATCTTTAACCAACGGTTATGCAATAAAAATCTTGGCTTTCAGATAGTTTTGTATGATAGCAGATAACTGTTGGTTCATTACTAAAAATATCATTGTTCGAATAAGATCTCAAACTTCATCGGTAAGTTATATAATGTAATTTTACCTGGATTTTACGATGGATTGCGGGTGAATGAGGAATGAAATCATCTTCTTATTTGAAAATTGGAAGAGAGTATGTGCAACTTAAGAGTAGTAAAGATGGGTATCGTATCTTCTTATTTTCATTGTTGGTTTGATTGTAAGGATATGCTAGGGGCGGGAAGTAGGGGAGGGTGGGAGGCAGATTAGACGAGGGAGAAACCAGTTGGCCTTGCTTCTACAGCAGTTTATTTATTCTTGATTTGTTTATAGATTTAATAAATGCTTGTGGCTCTTCTTTCATTTCTAATTTTCGGTTTATTATGTTTCTTGACATTTTATTTTATCTATTTTTATAGATTAGAGCATCTGGAGCGTCTGTTGTGATCAAGGGTCTTTGGCCTCGATGATGTTAGTAACACCGGCCTTAAAAGCAAATTATGTATCAAAACCTCAAATCCATGGATCCCATATGAGTTATAAAATTAATTAATTCAATTTAGAACCAAAACTTAGAGGAAAAGACAAGAAGAAGGAAAATTCAACAAAACTCAAGGTCTCCTAAACTATATTAAGGCCATTAACATTGATTCTTTCCATACAACATGAAAAATAGACAGATAGAAAAATATAGATATATCATATATAAATCAATTTTAAAGCATCAAAACTAGAAATTTGTATGTTATTTGGTATTTATTCCACCAAAAAAAGTAAATCCGCAAAATCAATTTTAAAATTCTCATGTAAGATACGGAAGGGTAGTTTTGTCAAAAAAAAATCTCTGTCATAACAATTTTTTCATTGGGGTGTATAACAACTAAATTTTTCGATATGGCATATAACTATTAAATCTTCAATATAGTGCATAATAACTGCATTTTTTAACATCGTATATAATAACTAAATTTTTAACATAATATGTAACAACTAAATCTTCAACATGACATGTAACAACTATATTTTTTAACATAACGTATAGCAACTAAAATTTTAAACTAAATCTTTAACATAGCGTGTAACAGCTATATTTTTAACATGATATGTAATAACTAAATTTTTAACATGACTTGTAATAACTAAATTTTCAACATGATGTACAACAATTACATTATATAACAACTAAATTTTTAACATAGCGTATAATAACTGAATCTTTAACATGACATGTAATAACTAAACTTTTAACATAACATGTAACAATTATATTTTTTAACATAACGTGTAACAACTAAATTTTAAAACATAGCAAATCAACTATTATGTCATTAGCTCAGGTAATTTCTGTCATATGTGATACACATTTCATCTCCATGTAACTTAACTATTAATTGTAAGGAATTAAAAATATTTAGATTTTGATTGTTACAATTAAAATATTTGATCCTTAATTTAAAAAGTATTCAAATATTTAATTCTAATTTAAGCATTTAACTCGTGATAAAAGAATATAACTAATTCACTATTTGTATGAATTTAATTTATAAACTATAATAGTTTCTCATCAATGTCAAGTATTTGGTCTACCAAAATCACGTCAAAGAATTTCTCCTCTCTAATGTGAAATGAAAAGATCCACTAATATTAATTTTAAACTGCCAACTTTTCCTTGATTTTCTGGCATGAAAACCAGGCAGCAAGAGAAAAAGGCATATAAAGAGGCCCCAGAGAAAACAGCAGTCAGATTTTGCGGTTGGAGTAATCATCTTATTAAGTTTGTAGCGATCCATATATATTGTGGATGACAGCATTGATCACTTCAGTGAACAATGATAAGGGTTGTTCTTTCTTTTCTTTTTTCCTAGGTTTGAGGCATGCACAGAAGCTGGAAAAGACTCATCTGAACTGTTTTGGAGATGGAGGGACAAAATCATATGCTGAAAGAATATCAAAGTTTTAATGGGCATATAAATGCAACTATAAAAGTAGCAAGCAGGAACTGGTCTAGCAGATAAGATGGAGCAGCCAAAGCTGTATAGGTCGGGTGCATGCAGAGTGCAGCATGCATTATTTAAGACAGCTAGCTAAGGGGTGCATGCAAGTTGGGTCAGCGTAGCTTTGACCCATATACCAGATGTGCCATATCAACCACCGGCAACTTCACAACTGACGCCCAAGCCCTAAGTCTGACTGAAATGCATATGCACGTTGAGACTTTAATGCCACATGTTTTGGCTTCATATTTCAGCCTTACCTTTTTGTTTTTTCCAATTTGTAATTTGTTGGAAATACATTCAGGAGGTTTCCATAGATTATTCACATAATGTCCAGAATAGAAAGCTTCAAGACCAGCTTGGGTTTGAGCATCTGACAAGAATTGACTTAATTTGCCGGGCAATTACGATCAAATCCCTTCGGACTTCACCCAAGAAACATAGTCATCTGGTGGAGGTGGTATCTCTGCCCCTCAAAGTCAGACCTCGGAGAAGAGATCCAGACGGACAATGGATAAAAGTAAAATATATATATATATATATGCACTAGTTTCCTTTTCCATTTTAACGATGGAATCATTACAAGCATGCATGTTATTTGTTCGAGCATATCATCAGTCCCACGAAGTTATTTAAAAACCATTCATCTGCGCCATACCCCTATACATAAGGCCATGTAATTAAATTAATATTTATCGTGCGTTTCATTGCAGATTCCATGATATATACAAGCTATTTAACTTACTTCAAAACTTTTCGTTGATTAAAAGAAAACATTAGATGCGTACCATCATCCCAACGCCTGTTTTTGGGTGCATGGTTCCTAATCAAGCTTATTTATTCAGTAATTTTATATTAGATTTATGGTTTTGGACTAAACAATTGCCCTCCTCTATTTAGTAAGCTTTATCCTTTTTATATTTGAAATTTTCAAGTTGCAATGACTTTTGTGAACATGATACGTGTTTCTTTGTTTTAATAAAATTTGAGACAGATTGATTGCTCCAACCTTTCGATAGTGAAGTAACTTAAAAATTAGGTTTCTAAATGGATAGGTGCAGCAAAACAGACCATTGAAAAAGCTAGATTACAATACCACACATTAAGACAGTAACGAATGAAAAATTTTGCTTGAAAAATTATTAAAATATAATTATAAAAATAATTATATTATATATATATATATATATATATCAAGTTTCATAATATAATAATAAAAAATCAAAAATTAAAGACCGGAAGCCGCCACCACCTGCCATCCGTTTGCGCTGCCCTGCGTCAAGGTGAATGAGTTTTGCTAGTTGACAAATTTTTCTTCTTTCCATTCTTTTACAGCTTGAAAAGGGATACTCTATATCTGAATTCTTCATTTTTGTGAATCTAATGTTAGTGTTGGTAGATGAAAGTAATTATAATTGCTCAACTTAACACGGTTACAAGTTTTATTGTGACTCGTTTCATCTTATGCTAAAACCATTAGATAAAATTTTATCAACTATATTCCTTTTTGTCCTTTTTTGTTTGTTTATCTTTCTTTAATTCTTTAGGAAAAAAAATCGACTTTAGTTAATTTTATATAAAATTTTGGCAATCAAATCAATATTCCATGATTTTTAATGTCAAAAAGTAAAAAAAAAAATTACAGGTTCTATAATAGAAAAACAATATGTATTAAACAGCTAAGACTTAACTTAATGATTATTATTTCTCTTTAAAAAGAATTAAAAAAATTAAGATTCAAATTTCTTTTTCTTCAATTATAAGAAAAAAAAAGATAACATATATCATATAGTTAATCATGTAGTTTTTCTAATATGGTGCCTAAATGTTTTAGAAGTATTGATTAAAATATTATTTTACAAAATTAAGAGAAATGATTTATATATATAAATGTGGTTTAGTTTAAGTACATTAAATAAGTAAAATGATTTATTATCAAGGATCTTTAGTTTTACTTGTGCTTGTCTTTCTTTGGTAAATATTTACTTATTCAAATTTCAAACAGAAAGAAGAAGAAATGGCCGAGGGGCATTGGGCGTGCGATGCATACAAAAGCAACGAAGGATCCATCGACAAGCAGTGATGGAGGGCAGATGGAGAGAGAGAGAGTTGATTGATTATTAATCTGTAAATCAGGGGAAATGTAAACAATCAAATCAGATTGGGTTTGGCAGTCGGCAGTCGGCAGTCGGCACTTAGGCACTAGCTTTTTGCTTTTTGAAAATTTAACAGTGGAGTGCATGTGCTCACCACCTAAGGTTGCCAGTTGCCATTGTCGCAGACCATCCCACATGCCCATGCCTTGTGGACCCCTCTGCCCTCTCACTTTCTCTTTTACAATTTTTGAAAATATATTTTCTTTATGTGTTATTATATAAAAATTTTTATTCTGGCTCTATATAAATTTTTGTTAGAGGCAATTTAAAGTATTCATTTTGTCCTTTGCAACTTGCAAGTAACATTGTTTTGTCTTATATCTTTTGATTAACCCACTACTTTGTCTTTCTTGTAAGCAATATTTCGTCTTTTTCTTTAACCTATTTCTAAATTTATAGATTAAACTCTGTTTAAAAAATATTTTACAGGTTGAACTTTGAAACCAATTTTGATGCATACTAATTTGTATGTATCTTTTGATATTTTATTTCTGTAGAAATAATTCTTAAACCAATTAGTATTTTTTTTTCAATATAAGGTTCGGTAGGCTGTAACGCAAATAATTAAATTAGTCTTCTTTTTGTTGATAAGTGATGGTGTGAAAGTTATACTAATATACATATGTTATAAAAAGGGAATAAAACTTTGATGAGTATTAAAAAGGAAATTGAAAGTAGTCAAAGTACTTTATACCGTGAATTTGTTCTTAAGAGTGAGGACATGAAGGCGGGGCTACCGACAGAGGTTGCGCCATCATGGACGGATAAACCTTGCCGATGAGGTTGAAAACAGCCTCCGATTAGTCTTTGATTGTGCTCGACATTGGTTAAAGTGATATTTAAAGAAAATTAATTTATACATAGCAATGTTTAGCTTCGTTAATCAAATTTAAATATATATTTTTTTCAATATACTAAAAAATCCACAATTATTGTATTTAATATAAAAATATAATAAATACTATTTCAATTAACCTTAAAAGGGTTTCTTAAGATACTCATTAACAAAATTTATAAATATCTTCTCATTTAATTAAACTTAAATTATTTTGTTTCTTTGTCTAATCTTGTAATTCACCTTTATCCCTAAGTTTTGACATGTTTCGAAGTTTATTCTCCAAAACCTAATGCTTAGTGTTTCAACCGGTGTATTCAAGGGTTCAAAATACCTTTGATTTGAAAAAAAAAATGAAAAGAAAATAAAAAAATAGTTATAGCTCAAGTTTACTTCGATCTTTGTATCTCTTACGGGAATTCCGCATCAATAAAAATCTAAGTTTGCTATAATACTAAATGTTGTGTTAAAATTTAAATTTGACTTTCGTGCTATCTCACGTTCTGAAAATAAAATTTAAGTGAACTTATAACTTACGTACTTACATTCTTAATCTAAAAGACATATTTGATAAGTAATGAAAAATTCATATTTATATATCTAAAACCCTTTTTATCTCTTATTGATATAAAATTGTAACACTAAATACTTAATCTATTCTCAAAAATTTCACAATCGACCCTCTTACATTTTTTTTAATTATAAAGGATAATGCGTATATTGGTATCATGTCATAGTTCAAAATTCAATTTTGCACTCAAAATTAAAAAGGAAAATTGAACTTTTGAATTTTTTATTCTTGTTTTATCAATTTCCATGTGAGATTAATTTTGTTCATCAAATGAGTAACGTGTACGTGTCTAAGGGCAACAGATGTCTAAAAGTATCACATCATTTTTTTTTTAATTTTAAAAAATAAAAAATTAGAAAAAAATTTTAAAAAATGATATTTTTAAACACATGTAACATTCTTATTGGTTACTTTTGGATCACTCTCACCTGACTATTGGAGTCAGTCTCAAGTCGATAAAAAATGTAAAGTTTGAGTATTTAGTTGTACATGTTCAAACTTGGAAATATCAAATGGAATATTTGTTCAAATGCCAAATTCCAAATGAGCCTTCCTCTAAATATATGATATCACTACACCAATTGAGAGAGAGGATCTACTTACGGCCGTATATAGAAGCAGTGAGCGTTATCCAAACTATTAATGGTAATAAATACAAGGGTTGAAATTGATAATTCTTTTGACTCTTTGTCACTATTGTCTCCCCCACTTTCTCTTTCTCCTTTCTTTGTCTCTTTGCAGCATTTAATAACTTTAATCTCTTCTTCTGCTTTTTTAATTAGTTCCAAACAACTTTCTAGTTCATCTCCCAATTAATACGAAATCAACAGCTCATCTTTTCATCAAAGTAAAATCATCTAATTTCTCATTTTTGTTTGGTCCATGTTCATTAAATTTTCATAGTCATGTGTTTTGGTCCATGCGTATTGCATTACAGGATGGATACTAACCCTTCACTAGACTAAAATTCTCATCTCGTTTATGTCAAAATTAAATGAATTTGGAGTGTTGCTCGACACTCCAAAATGTTGAAAACTTGAAAAGGTTATTAAATCTGTCCAGATTCATATTTATATAAAAAAAATTGGCTGTCATGGATTAATGTCTTGGTTGATCAACATTAGATTGTGTTAATACACACTTACTTAACACCCTAGTTTTCAACGAAAGTTTTCATTTCCATGAAAAATTGGATTTTTTTTTGTTAATCTAAAGTCAAAGTTTGGTGTTATAGTATTCATGTAAAGCAACTTCTCTGCAGTTCTACAACTTCAACCCACTAAGACCGCCAAATTTGATAAGAGTAATAGAAGAGCAGCTCCAACTACATAAACCAAGTGAACTGGATTATTAAATAGCAACGCCACAATTGCAAACTTTGTTTCTTGTTTTCTAACAAAAACGTAATTCAACAATCTTCTGGCTCTTTTCTAGCTTTAGAATTATCAATTATTCCCATCTAACACACATCATTACAAAATGAAAACAAGAAAAAAAATTCCATACAAATTTAATAAGATATAATTAGAAGCTTAAAATTCTTTTATATATATATATATATATATTTTGAAGATAAAGCAACTAAACTACATTATTCGAGACCATAAAACATCTAAAATGTCCACGAGTTCATTAAAGCATAACCGATAAGCAAAATTAAAACCCACTTCGTTAAACGTCATAAAATCTACTAGTTATATTCCTCCATTTTATTAAACAACAACTATGTACAACAATTATGAAAAATTAGGTAAAAAATCAAATGGATTTAGAGAGAAAGAGACTTCAAACTCTCCAGAAGAGGAGGAAAAAATAAGAGGAATAATTAATGGTGTTAATTGGAAGCTGATGGAAAATTATCTTGAGGTAATTAAAAAGTAAAGTAAGGAACCTAATTTAGAACGTGGCGGACATGGGTTATGACATTTGTACTCAATACCGTGCTGCAATGGCCATGTGACATTCGACTCAATTGGCCGCGGTGGCCGCGGATAGAAGATGGAAAGCTCCAGCTGGGATAATGCTAAATACTGACGCGTCGATTTCTGTATTAAATGGCGAAATATGAGCTGCAGCGGGTTTCATGGTTAGAAATTCATCGTGGGAAATGGTGATTGCTGGTGGGACGAGATTCGAGTGCAGCACACATGCTGCAGTGGCTGAGTTACGTGCTTTGCTATGGGCCCTTTCAGTTTGCTCTAGAGATAGGAATTGATTGCCTCCAAGTGGTTAATTGGATTAAAAATAAGAGATTTAATGGAGAGGTGGGTCATGTGACTGAAGACTGTTGCTTGGGAATGACTCGGCTTAATTGTTCATCTGTTAAGCATTGTCGAAGAGAGACTAATGTGGTGGCCTATGAAATTGCTAAGCTGGCTAAAGATTTGGAGGTGGACCAGTATCTTTGGAGTGTAATTCTAGATGGTTCTGTAGCAATACAAAATGTAATTAGAAATGTTGGTAATTCTAGTTAATGTGGGTAGGAGGGCATGATTGAAGGTACTCTTTTTTTCTTTTCCATGGGTTTTTCTCATTGAGTTTTTTCATGAAAAGATTTTTGACGAGGTCCTCTTCATGTCGTAGGAATTTTATAATGTGTGGGGATAAGTGTTATGATACATACTGTAAGTGCCAATGGTACTGCATTAAGGAAAGAAATTTCCTTTTTCTAAAAAAAAAAAAAATCACATTTTAAACCCCAAGAGGTAAATTTTTTACTCCTGGTTTTCCCTTTTAAAATTTTCTGAAAAAAAAAAAAAACAGAGGAAGATGTAAAGAACATTGCTGGGTGTTTAATCATATGTGAGACAGCATGTGTTAGCTGGGAAATACAATCATCGAAGTATAGACTAATGGATTTCAGTGAGTTATTGGTTATTGCTGAATGATTAAGGGGAATCAAATAAATACTAGTACTAATAATCACAAGGATTGGTTTTCTGGATTCTCTGAATCCGGCAAGTGTAGTGCAGGAATACCATTCCTCAATTTACTTCAACAATCACTATTCAGTATTGAGCTGTTGCCAGAATATATCCTAGCGTTAATTCAAATGCAAAAGACAAAAGTGGGAAAAAGAAGAAAAGCAGTAACAAAAGCCGAATAAACATGCTGGCCCAGGGATTCTTATTGTGAGAGAAGAAAAAGGGTTGAAAATGGGTCAGTAATTGGCCGACGTCGGCGGACTGCACATCTCCATGACCATAAGCAAACGCACGGGTTCAAACTTTCAGCTTTTCAACATGTTTTCAAACTCAAATAGTGTTTGCATAATAACAAAAAATAAAATAAAATAAAACTCAATCACTGCACGCTTGATTCTTTCAACCAAATGACCTTTTACAGACACATAATACTAGCACCCTCACCAACGCCACAGTTGTAGGCATATAGATTAATGTATTAGCTGTACTGCCATTTCTATTATTAAAATCACATAAATTGAAACAGTGAAATCTTTTGTCTCCATGGTTAAACTAAAATAAACATTAAAACCAATTATGGGAGTAGATTCTCTAGATTAAAATTAAAGCCTACATATAGACTCACCCTTGCTTCAGCTTTCCTCATCCAGTGATCTTCATACCTCTTCATTCTTCCCATTCTCTCTTTCGGGTAATGCTCTAGCTAGAACCTGCTGAATAAGGCTTCGAAGGTTCTTTCTGCCATAGTTTTCCTTTTAGACGAGCGATTTTATTTTTCTTTCTGTTGGTTTTTGTCGTATGTGAATGTTAGATTCATGCTGTGCAGATATATGGCTTCACCGCAATGGATTCTGCTGCTGAGTCTCTTGTTCATGGTTTCTGGAACAATCGGAGCTCCCCCTAGGAGGCCTGTAGCGGTCCCATTCGGGAGAAACTATATGCCTACTTGGGCTTTTGATCACATTAAGTACTTCAATGGAGGCTCCGAGATTCAGCTCCACCTTGACAAATACACTGGTATAAACATAATCTTGGCTCTTGTTTTCCCATCAAATTATCAAATCAGATGCGTCTATCACCCTAAGATATTTCATATTTTCTGTTGATTCTCACAACGGTTTGGTTTTCATCTTTGTAAAAGGTACTGGTTTCCAGTCAAAAGGATCTTACTTGTTTGGCCACTTCAGTATGCAAATGAAGCTGGTTCCTCGAGATTCTGCTGGAACTGTTACCGCCTTCTATGTGAGTAAAATTCCTGTCACACTGTTGGCTGCTTTATTTACGACTCGCAGCTGCTCTGTAATAGATGCTTTCTCTGTTTGACAAATCAGAAAACTTTGGTTCATTTATTTGGGGGATTTTCTTTTCCAAACAAGAAAATACACAATTAAATTCTACTACTAGATTATCGTCTTTTTCTGCTTAACATTTGTGATTTGATGTCTTGCAGTTATCTTCTCAAAATTCGGAGCATGATGAGATAGATTTTGAGTTCCTGGGAAACAGGACCGGCCAGCCATACATTTTGCAGACCAATGTGTTCACTGGAGGAAAAGGAGACAGAGAACAGAGGATTTATCTTTGGTTTGATCCAACCATAGACTACCACGACTACTCTATTCTGTGGAACCTGGATCAGTTAGTGTGAGTGTCCTGTTTCTTATCATATTCCTGCCCAAATGTCCAAATCCTTTCAGTTTTGGCATTTTTATTAACAAGAATATAAGCACGCATAAATTCATGATTAATGGTTTCTGCATCTTGTATCAGCTTTTAACCTTCCGTCGTGCATTTAAGTTGCTGGATTCTATGATTTTGCTAGAATGCTAAAAGGGTTTTTAACTTTTAATATTTTGATGCTAGAAGCTGCAACAATTTCTATTTCGTGGACAGAACATACAACTTTTTTGTACAAGCAACATTATTGTTTTCTTTTTCCTGTCACTGTCGGGATATATTTCCAGAGTTCATTGTCAAGTTATAAGATTACTGCAGGAATCTAGGATCGATATCAGCCTTAATTATCGCATAGGACAAGAAAAATAAAAAAGGCTAAATTAACATCGGATGTTGTGACCTGCTTCACATGATGTTCTTCTACGTATGTCTTCCCTACACACCAAGTTGGGATCAGACTTTTGAACACCCAGTCTTTTGAAACCGTAGCATGATGTGTTCCAGCAATCTTGTAATAGACATTCATGTTTCTAAAGTGGAGAAACCGTTCCACAAGTCAAATCAAGCACCGAGTAAACGCATACTCAAATTTGGTGATTTTTCAGGTTTTCTTCTGTTGGCACATAAAATGCCTGAGATTTTTCAGGTTTGAGTCATCGAGTGGTTGGGTTACTTTATGACTTTTGACGGAAATTGATTGCTCCCTACATCATTTCTAACTGGAATGCACTACTTATTTATTTGGGTTCGTTTGCTCATTCTAAATTTAATATTTTGAAAATATGGACAGATTCTTCGTGGACAACACGCCAATCAGAGTGTTTAAAAACTGCAAAGATTTGGGGGTGAGATTCCCATTCAACCAGCCAATGAAGCTATACTCGAGCCTCTGGAACGCGGATGACTGGGCCACCAGGGGTGGGCTCGAAAAGACTGACTGGTCCAAGGCCCCTTTCATAGCCTCCTACAAGGGCTTCCACATTGATGGGTGTGAGGCCTCCGTTGAAGCCAAGTTCTGTGCCACACAGGGCAAGCGGTGGTGGGACCAGAGGGAATTTCGGGACCTTGATTCCTACCAGTGGAGGCGGCTCCGCTGGGTCCGCAACAAGTTCACCATCTACAACTATTGCACGGACAGGGTGAGATACCCTACCATGCCTCCCGAGTGCAGGAGAGACAGGGACGTTTAATTCGTCATCAACGGACCGGGATCTTCTATATATTCCATACTATATAAGATCGATCTTCTCCTTCAGCTTCGACTTGTTGGGTTTGTCTTCATTCATTTCTTTCTAGCTCCATTGCTGGGCTTCTGTATTGATATTAATATCGGTTACTTTTTATGTAGTTTTACTTCAAACATTTATTATCATGATAATAGTAAACCTATACTACCAGTATAGTATATCATTTATGTGTATCCGATGCACGTCACTGGCAATTTGATCATCAGCATATTAATCTTTTTTCTTATTTTTTTTTAAAGAAATCTACGCCTAAGGTTTTGAGTTTTTCTTTTTTATTTGTTTTGTTGTCTTTTCTCACTTCTTTCTTAGAAAGTGTGTTAGCCATATAAAAGGTATTTATAATTAGGTTAAAATGCTGATTCAACTTTTGATTTGTTGCATTTTAATCTTTTCATTTAATTAAATAATTTAATTAAATCCATATTAGAAATTTTTGATTTTCAATTAAATGTCAGTTTTATTTTAATTTCACATTATCTTATTATGTGTGACTATTAGGTTTTTAATATGTTAATAATAAATATAAATTAATTTAATTAAAAATTTATATTTATATTTGTAGATCATACATCATAATCATCTAAATGTCAAGAGAGTCAATATGGTTTGACTAACCTTACAAGATAGCTTTTCAAGGTTAAGCTAGAACCTTTACAATGAAGTACAAATTTCAACAAGGGAATGCCTCTACAAAGGTTGGGTGTTGAGATTTTAAGCTTGTTTATAGTGAGAGAAGAAATTTCAGATTGAATGAAGTAAGGATTCAACTTTGAAAGCATGATGGAAAACTAAAAGTATGCTAGAGAGTGAAGATGAGCTTGTGGGTAGTCTTTATAGGGTTTGTAACTTTATCTTAGGTTTTCTTTTACTTCAAAATGCCTCAAATGCATCTATTTATAGCTAAAGCATGCTTTGGAGACATTAGATACAAGTTTGAATCAAATCTGATCATTGTTGAAGCTTAAAGGTTGACTACAATGCTCTTAAGGTCGACTATGTTCTTCATATTTTTTCAATTAGGGCTTCCATAGTTGAGTATGTATATTTTCTAGTCTATCCACTTCTAGAGAGCATGTATTTTTCAAATCTGGGCTTCTATAGTCGACTATGGTTTCTTAAAGTTAACTTTTTTTGGCTTTTGATTTGTCAGGGTCGACTACATATTTTCTATAGTCGACTATGGTTCTTCTTCAACTTGATTTTCTTGGTTTATCTGGAACATGGTTGATTATACTTCCTCTATAGTCAAATATGATTGTTCTGAACTTGATTTTCTTGTTCTTTCTAGAACAAGGTCGACTATGCTTCCTCTCTAGTCGACTAGAGCTTTATGATCTTCAAGTTTTTCACTCATTTAGCCTTTAAATCGACTTGAAATTTTCTAGGATGGACTCTTGACTTGTGTCTTGAAGTTACCTTTAGCCTTTTGATGCATTTCTTTAGCTATTTTCTCATTTCCTTGTACTTATATTCAAATAAGCAAATCAAGGCATATTTGCTCTTGATTTCTTGGTTGAAAATACATTATTTGAAAGCTTGTAGTTTTCTAAGGATGCATGGCTTTTCAAACAATTTTCTAACCTTAGGAGACTAAAAATGTAATTGAGACATTTTTAAATGCCTTGACATTAAATTTAAGAAGACGTGATTTTTGTCAAATCAAAACATGAACATGATGTAATTGAAGTTTAACAATCTTTCCTTTTTTGATATGACAAAAACATGAGCATATTGGATTGAAAATTTCTTGAAACCTCCCCCTAACTTAATTAGTCTCTATGCCGCTAAAAGCATTTGAATTATAAATGAAAAGGACATAAAAGTTGAGTATGAACTTTAAAAGGATTCTCCCTTAATATATGCATGAAGTTAAAAAATGTTTTCAAAGCAATTCAACTAATGAAAGAGCATTTTAATGTGCTCATAAACCTTCTCCCCCTTTTTGTTATATAAAAAACGAGTAGAAACATGAGCTTTAAGCCTTTAAACTCAAGAGATAATGGTTAGTGATAATCATCAATTATAGAGAAGCATTAAGTTCAATAATAATCACTAATAATAAAATCAAAATATTGAGATTTATTTCCATGTAAATAGTCAACCAATAGATCAAATCAAGATGTATTCCCATTCAATAGATATTCAAGCAAGGTATAGGGAAATATACTCATTTAGCACATCCAAAAATCATAACATATTTCTTCTCAAAATATTCAAGTAAAGTGTGAAGAAATATATTCAACCATTTCAATGGAGCTCAATATAAATGTCGTCATCAAGAATGCCACACACACACACACACACACACACACACATATATAAAGATGAATATGATCATGATGTGGGCATAACATTTAAGAATTTCAAGAAAGATAAGCATAAAGATGTTCAATAAGCACACAAATTCTAATATTCAGCTCCATTTGGTAGATATCAATATAAGACCCAATATACAAATTGATAGATATAAATAAAATCTCCCCCTATGGAAAAGCAAATAAGTACAAGATTAGGAATAAGGAATGGAATCATTTCAAGGTTCATTATATCAATTGGTAAGGCACTAGTAAAGGCCCCCCCCTAAAGCTTGATATTAATGGTTGGGATGGACTTGATATAAATTGTGCATTCAAGCATAAATGTGAGGCACTATAAAGCACATTTGGTGTTGGAAAGATATTATCAATAATGAAGAGCACCAATTTGTTGAATTCTCACATTTTCTTGTTGAAGATACCAAGTGCTAATGACATCGATTTTGATAAGCTCCCCTTTAATAAAACATAAGAACATAAGGTCTAAATAAGACCAATTATTAGGAGACAAGTCATGATCCTAAAATAAATGAGCATTTAAATAGATATTCAATTATGCATCAAATATTCATGTTTGCAAAGTAGTTCCTAGGAATATCCAAGGTATCATTAATTATCAAGTACCATTCTTAATCATTTTCAAGCATCAATAAGCATTCTCTAATTTTCATCAAGTATTTATCATTATCATTATGAAGCATTATCAACAAAGCAATATTAATCATTTCAAAAGAATTCTCCAATTTGTATAGGAATGACAACTCAAGGAGAATTTTAACGATAAAAGCATATCATCAATTATCAATAAAATATCATCATTAGAGACTTTTAACAAGCATTCTTCCAAATTATTTTCAAGCAAGCATTTAAGTTCAACGTATATTCTATTTCTTAATGATTTTCATAATTCATGAGTGATACCGATCGTTATGGAATATTGGAAAGAGAAGCACTCAACTCATGAATATATTCAAAGTGAACATCTAAGCATCAATGAATATCAATTGTCAAGATCCAAGAAATAAGCATTCAATTTTTAACCTATAAGCTCAAGTTGGTTGCACATAAAGTAAACATTTAAGCTTATTGAAAACATAGTCAACATTCAAGTGCATATTCAAAAGATATTTCAACTATGTCCACACAATATGTTTCATGATCAAACTTGACAATCAAATTTATATTCCAATGAATGGCACAAGGTAGGTTTTAAACTTCAATCATTAACGTCAAGCACGATTAAATGTCATGTAAGCATGTGCCTTGACCAACACAATAGATGAACCATGTTTTTCATGAAGTACAAGGAATTCATCATAATCAATTTCATGTGCATAATCAAGGAGTCAATTTTGAAACAATCAATTAGGCCCAAACAAAAAACACATTTCAAGAGTTGTTCCTAGACCAAGCATTTGAACATTGCAATTCTCAAGCAATGATATTTTCAATGAGAAATGATTAATTTAAGCACTTATGAACAATTTTTCATTTTTCAAATCAAGCACAAAAGAAATAATAAGATCAATATAAGTTAGGATAGGTTAGATTAATAGGATCAATGAGAAATGATATAGGAGCATATTATTTAAGTTACTTATGCATTAAGTTAGGTTAGGTTAAGTTATCTTTTACTTTAGTTGTACTCCATAGAAGTTTAGGTTAAGTTACTTCCCTATTTATTTTTATTTAGGAATTGTAATAATCCCACATAGGAAAAGAAAAAAAGCTTTCTTCTTTAGGAATAGTTATATAAAGCCCTCTTGGGTTAATTGTTAAGCACATTCAACTTGAGAATTAATAAAAAATATTTTCTTTAATAAGCAAGAGTGCTTATTTTCACTAAGCTCTTTTCAAAAGAGTAAAAGAGTTTAGTATCTTTGGTTTGGCCAACCAAAATGGGAGTTTGGCTATTGTTCACCTTAGTTAGGTGGCTCTACCCTTACCATGATTACTGTTTTCACGTCGCTTCAATGTCTTCACAATGCCCCAGCATTAGTTTGGTATTAGAGTGGGAAGATCATTGTTTGCTGCGTAATTTGAGTTCGTTGTTGGGTTTTGACTCTCATTGTTTGGGTAATTTTCTATTTTATTGTTTTATAATTCTATCATCATTCTTTTTGCATTGCCACATCATTATCACCCCGTCATTGCTATATCACCATTGCCATCATTATCATCCTTATTTGAGCCAACAAAATGCCACCAAGATGCCAAAATCGACAAAAAGATGTTCACAAGATTGAGGTTGAGGAATTACGTTGTCAAGTTCAAGAATTACAAGAGTAACTCGCAAGATGTGATGCTTCTCAAATCAATAATAGTAGCTCTATGATAAAAAGGATAATACCAATCTTTTCCATCAAGAATCGTCTTCTGATGAAGAAGTACCTATACGTTGTTTAAGAACTGCTGCTAATAAAGATTTGAAAATTAAGGTAAACATTTTTGAATTTGAAAGAAGGCTTCACCTTGATGATTTTCTTGATTGGCTTTACACAGTGAAAGAGTTTTCAAGCTCAAAGATGTTTCTAATGAAAAATGTGTGAATCTTATTGCAATTAAATTGAAAAAGCATGCCTCTATTTAGTGGAAAAATCTCAAATGACATCGAGAAAAAGAAGGCTATAACAAGATTAGAATATGGGATAAGATGCGTTGAGAACCCAAATTTAAATTCCTTATTAAACACTATAGACATGAAATTTTTTTGAATTTCATAACATGAGGCAGAAAACAATGCCAGTGGAAGAATATACATTGGAGTTTGAACAACTTCACATGAAGTGTGATGCTTACGAACCTGAAGAGCAAATTGTAGCTCATTATCTTAAAGGTCTCAATGTCAAAATTGCGATGTTGTTCAACTACAACCATATTGAAACATAAATGATGCCATCAGATTAGTATT